TTTTTGGTATCCGTAGCGCAGTTTTCGGAGTGTGATGTTGAACCAGTAGCCAAAAACCTTCTGAAACTGTACTCCACTTTGTTGGAAACAAAAGGCGATATCTTTGAAAAACCATGTAGGTAAGTTTATTTTTTTAAATTCCACTTTAATCCAATGACTGGTTATGAGATGCAATCCTCGCTGAGGCAGTGCTTATATGTGAATGTGTATGGATATCTTTCATATATATATATATATTTGTGTTCTGCCTGAAATATTAAAAAAAAATTTTTTTTTTAAATTTCATTGGTTTAGCCTATTGTGATCAAATTGAAACATACGAGCATAAAATTCCTTGTACTTAAACTATATCTTCGCTAATGCCAAAAGATCCCAGTAAATTTTGATCCCGAAAGTAAAATGCTGATTATATATTCATTATAGTCGAGCTCATATGGCTGAATTTCGCATACTGGCAGGAAGTTCAATGTTAAAACTTGCAACAAAACCACGATACGCTAAATTTGTTACCGCTGATGATTTAGTCATGCTCTCTGCACTTGGTTATGTAAGTTTTAAGTCCTCTAACTAAAATACAATATGTCATTCAGAGAGAAAGGAAATTTATTACTATTAGGTTCAAAATTTTAATGTTCGATTTATGATTTTAACATGGATGTAAGGTTAAGTACCGGGTTTCAGTGCGAAATGAGCTACCATAGTTTTCAGGATGAAGAATTTGAAATGCGACACCGATTTTTTGGTAAACTTAACAAACACTTGATGGCTCTTCAGCTACACGTTGAATACTTGGGGCTGTTTGCACTTGTTAGTTTGTATGATGATGTCGATTTCCAAAATAAGATGCGTGTTTTGGTAGATGCGAATATAACAAAAAGACGAAAATACATGGAAAGATCAAAAATGAAAAGTAATAATTTGATTTGTCATTTTGATATTGAAAAAATTGAAATTTATAAGGAATAGGAGTTTGAACTATATTTTTATTGGATTATTTAATACCATGTACAGCATTTTACCTTGCGTTTTAGATTTCGCACCATATTATCAGCCTGAATATTGCCTTGCATACGCAATTTACATACTTGCAAAGCTTCCATCATTTGAGTCGATTAAATGTGAACCTGAATTACGGCGGTTAACTGAGTGAGTTTTGATTTTATCAGTAGCTTAATTTTCAAATTTAGGTTCCTAATGTTTTCTGAAGTTATCAAGTTTTTTAAATTTATAGTATGTTATATTTCCCTTCAGTCGCTTTTTTATAGATCTATCTGGTTCTTGTTGGGAATTTTCAGTGCTAGAAAGGAACCGGGCAGTTTGGAATTTATCTATAACATATTCCAGGTATTTCTCAACTATTAATAAAGATATTAAATTTAAGCACTTTTAATATTAAATTGTCAAGTTCATCGGGTTATTGAATTCTTAAATTTTGTGTAAAAATTTAATTTTGCAGACAGTAAAGAACAGCACAGATTCAAAGTTGGAGAGCTGTTCAAGGGAGGAGCTGCAACAAAAAAATGAGGTATTTTACTGATTTCACGTGGATTTTTTAAACTGTTTTTTGATTTATGGCTAATTTATGTGGTCGTTAAATACTTTCGGGATTAACGTGTTGGGATATCTGTATATTCTATTAAGGCATCTTTTTCATTCACTTGTTTTTAGAAAATATGGGCATTGTGTGATATTGGAATGTTGTTAATGTCTTACCGTGTGAAAATTTTAATGAAAGACATTCAATTTAAACCACTATTGAGTAAAAGATTCTTTTTGAATATGGGGAAAGTAAGTTTTTAAATAATTATCATATTTTTTTAGAAAATGTAGTTTGTATTGCATCAAATATATTATTTTCTCATCATTGGCTTTTATTACTAAAAATTAGAAAAAGTCAAAAAAAAAAATACCAAAATTAGAAAATAAATAGACAAAAAAAAAACAAGAATAATTTTTGCTCTGAGGTTCAAAGTAAATATGCTAGTGAAACTGTAATTATTTTTGCAAAAATTTGACGCTTTTCCTTCAAGAAAATGACATTTAAATATCATTTATGTAAATTTTAAAGGCTAATACCAAAGTATACCTGCCAGCATCATTTGTCAAAGAAATGAAAACATATAAGGCAAACACAAAGCATCAGAAAACTGATACGACGAAAGCAGCGACTAAGTCATTTGTACGACATTCTTTAACAAATAATTCAAAGCATTCTACAAGGGTATCCAGTGTCCTGAAAGTTGGTAGTAAAAGGTATTATTTGGAGTTTCAATTTTTAGAATTCCATTACTTACATGTTGACAAATCTTAATTCTATATAATCTTCGAGTCTTCGAAGATTAAACGTATCTCTTTGTTCACTTTTTTTGGAGTGTTCAGATAGTGCGACTTTCAGAGCAGTTAGTAAGAAACGAAGTAATCGAAATCGTAAGGCTAAGGTGAATGATTTTCCTATCAGTAATGAAACTGATGAAATTGTCATTAAACATCCAAAGCTTGTTTCTGAGGAAGGAAAGCCACAGCAGGTAAAGTTTAATATTTCTCTTTTTCTTTCAAAAAAACAGCTTAGAAATTTTATACTTTATTTAAAAATATTTTTGCAGAAATGATCTGGTGATAAATATTTTTAGCGAAAAATGAATGAAAAGAAGTCAGTTTTAGAGAAAATTTTTCAAACAAGTAGTGGTAGCAGTTGGGATTTGGGGATGGAGGTCCTTATCTTTTCTTCCTATTATTTTCATGATGTTTGACAATTACTTTTTAATTTTATTACTCAAATGATTAATTTTTAGGATTTCTTAGGCTCGGACTGTCTTGTTAGTGAAGATCATGTTGGTAATAATTTCCTTTTAGTTTAATGGCTTTAGGCTTCATCACCTTTGAAAACGTTGGTGAGAGAGAGAGAGAAAATGGAGAAACCAGTTACACTGAAAAGCTTGAATAATGAGAGCAAACCTGGAACATCGGAAGCAAATCCTAGTAACAAGGATGGTCAACATATTCGCGGTTCATTAGAAGATTGCGACTACTCACCAATTCGTCCAGTTTACGTTTGTGTTCAATTTGAATTCCACTGTTGTTCTATTTCAAAATTTTGGAACTTTTGGCTTTCAAAAAAAAGCTTAGTCAGGGTAGTGACGTTTCGATGAAAAGTTTCGTGAAAATCCCAGAATTCATATAAAGTTTGCATTTTTTCAGGTGGAAACTGCTGTTACTCGTCAGCTGCCATTTACAAGTTCAACACCTATCGTCGCAACCAAGAGACGTCGAACAATCGTGACCGACGGTGAAAATAATGACGTTGTACATAAGGACCAGAATGATACTAAAGTTGTGACAACAAAGAAATTGAGGAAAGTGGGCGAAGGAAATGGCGATAAATGTGGTAATACAAAAAAGTTGAGCAGTGCTCAAAGTTTGAAGAGATTAGATGAAAAAGCCCGAGCAGAAATAGTGCCAGACACGGTTGGTTTTTAAGATTTTGGAATTTCGATCTTAGATAGAACACAGTGGTATTGCTCGATTTTGCCATTTTGTACCATGTATATTCATTATCCGTTTTGAATCGTACATTTCAATTCCTTTAAAGGTTTTGCAAAAGATTAAATAATCTGTCAAACTTGAAATACTTCTTTTATTGTACTCATGTTACCATGTATTGAGGAGATTTTTTTTAATCAGTAGCCTATTGCACTGATTTTTTATCCAGAGTAGCATAGCAACACGATTACGTTCACGACAAGCAGCAATTTCATTTCCTGTTCAACGTCCAGATGTGGAATCATCGAACAAGTAGGAAATTTGAATAATTCAAAACCTTTAATTAAAAAAAATTTTGAGTGATTTGAAAGTTTTAGTTTTTCAGTCATTAGTCACTATTTTCATTTTGTTGCAGCATTCTAAAATATAATGTTAATAATAATTTCTTATTTTGATTTTTGAAAGTTCATGTTGAACTGTCAAGCTGCTGCAGTCTGAAAATATTTTGTTTGAGCTTTCAACTGACTTCGTGAAATTTCCAACCAGTTTTGCTGATTTTTCCCAATTTACCGCCATCATTCTCACCATAGTAATAATATGGGAGACTTGGCATGATCATTTAAATTAAACACTAACGACCTTTTGCTTTTTATTTACTTCCTCGAGGAAATAATGTTCTGATTAGTTTTGAATTCAAATTGTTCCAGGAAAAAGTGAAAAGTTATTGAATCTGTGGAGTAATGTTTGGGATGTCAACCTTGCAATAAAAACAATGTTCTTTTCTCTTACCGCGGTGTCATGAAATGGATCTGCTTCGCTTTTCAATCCATTCATTCTATGTTTATCGAAAGATCATCAAAGATTTATGGGTTTTCAATAGTGTCAAGACAAAACTACTATAAAATGTACTGAGTAAATCGAACTTGGAATCTTTTCAAATATTTTCCTGACGACTTAACTCAAAATTTCGATTTTATTTAACCAACGAACGCATCTCTTAAGTGTATTAATCCACATCTGACTTGTGCCTTCGGTAAAAATGCTAAATCTACGGCTAATTGTTGAAAGTTTGGTGAAATCAATCTTTTGGTTTTGAAATTTCATCTTTGGTTGTATTAATCTTTGATTATGTTAAATTTTCTGTTCAATATCTACCATAATTTTACCTATAATTCTTTTCTGTTGTGACACAGAACTCTCAAGTTATTCACAATTATTTCATACTTTATCGTTTCAACTGTTGCCATGGCAAAAGCAAGCAACTTCGTAACATCCCACTTTTCATTTTGTAAATTTTTAGTGTGTAATTAAAAATCTTGTGTACCTGTTTTCTTCGTATCACTTTCAAGCTTATATTACAAGGTGTATGAGATTAAATAGTTAGATCCAAAGCTTTTAAATTCCGGTCTTTGGCTTTCATTTGCTATGAAGTTTCAATTTTCGGTTGACCATCAAATCACTGAGCAGTTATTTGAAACAAAAAAAAAAAAAAAACGAGCGGAAATTCGAGCGAGTAATCATCATAAAATTACATCATTTTTAGGATCCCATTCGCTAGCTGAATCTTCTGGTGTCGAAATTGATGGCTGGAAAAATGCGCAAGCTTAAACAGTATTAGAAGTATTTCTTTAAAGCTGCTATAAATTTTTAAAACATCAACGAAAAACTTCGTGAAATGTAAGTGCTAGATGTAGAGAGTGCTTTATAATTTGGCGAAAATAAACCAAAAAATCTATCCACAGTTAGTACAAACATTTCATAAATTTGCATAGATAGAGAATCGATAAAGATTCTCCCTGAATTACAGATTAGTGATCCTCACTTGATTTGATGATAGCTGATAATTCTCTTAAGCTGCATTCATTCGCTTGATATATCAGAGAAAATAATGTATATATGCTCATAATGATTATATTATTCCTTTTAACGGATAATTAATTTGTATAATTATACAGTATTTGGAAAAGTTAACTTTTGCATTTACATTTTGATAAATAATGTTCTTCTAATTAAATTTTCGGCTAGTTTATAAAACAATTTTTTAAACTGACATTATATGCTCAAATAGAACCTTTTATAAGACTCTCTTAAGTTCTCCCTGAATTACAGAGTTTTTCTTTTACAGACTACTCTCATTTTTTAATTGAAATTTAATTCAAAAATTGAATTAATCGAAGCTTTGATCTTTTTTCTCAAAAAATTACTATTTATTATTTATTACTATTATTTCTTTTTTTTTTTTTTTTTTTTTTAACAGAATAGAATTAGTATAAAATACCGTTCGAAAGTTTGTAACTCTTTCTTCTTCGCTAATATCTTCAGTTATCCATGCCATACCTTTCCAAACATGATGCATGATATGAACTGCTGGTGCTAACATCGCAATTGCTGCTTGATTTCCATTCCTCAAAGAGATATTTAAATAAAATTGAATTATGAAAAAATTGTTGCCAAGATGCTAAATTTCTCTCACAATAAATGAACAAATTATTTGCTAATGAAAAATTAAAATTAGATAAAATAGAAGTGAAATATACTTCTGTTTCTAAAGTAAAATTTATTTAAAGCTTACATTTTAAATTATAGCCATCTCTTACATATCAATTGAAATAAAATTTTTATTCTTCTTCCTTACCTTTCTAATTTTGTCTTACCATAAATCATATCACATATTACCTAAATCGATGTGTAGTATTGTCTACCACACATCCAGATGTTGAAAATGTTGTTTCATTTATATTCGAAGATGCAGAATTACGATATAAATTCTCGGGATGTAATTCCTAAAAAAAAAATTTTTTTTTCAATTACAATTCAGATCAGAGATAAAAAAAAAGGATTTCAATTTATGAATCGTTAAGCTGTGAATTTCATCTTCATTTATAATCAATTTTATTCAAATACTTTTTTATTCCTCAACGAAAACATTCTAAGTTAGCAGTACTAAAATAATTTGAAAATATTAATATACCTGAAGTAGTAAACAAAATCTGGCATACCAAGAAGGATTTTTGCATGCATTTGGATTAGTAATACAAAAGGCACAAGCAATCATTATACCTAAAAAAATTTTTTTCTAAAAATCGAAATCATTTGCAATGAATGAAATTTTTAAAAATATTATCATAATCATTTCTTCTTGTAGTAATTAAAAATTATATATAAATTTAATAACAATTAATTATAAGCAAGAGATAAAAATTTTTAAAAAAAAATAATTTCTCTCAAAAATCAGAAAGTAATCAAAAAATTATAACTATTGAAGTTTAAATCATTTTCATCAAACAAATTAAATAATTTTCCTTTTTTTCTTATTCTTTTTTTTTTCTTCTTTTAATCTCTTAAATTTTAAATTGACATTTTTTTTTCAAAAAAAAAATTGTGACCATTACCTACAATGCAAAGCAATATGATATATAGGCCAAAGTTATAATTATCCAAATCGATTATAGCTAATGCTGTACAAGTACAAATAACCATAATTAATATAAATATAGCAATACAAGCATGGAACATTTTATCCAATGTAACTTATCAGCAATAATTAATTATTTTGCAAAAAATCAGTATTAATTAATTGAAGAATGCTAGATTTTGATTGGAATTTCTATTTGAAATAAATGAGCGATCAAATTGAAAAAATTTGAAAATTGTCGTTTAAAATCAATTTTTTCTTATCAACCTGAAAAGTAGGAGTGATTTTTTTTCTCGCTAGAATCAAGTATAGTATAAATCAAGTATAAAGTATAAAAAGAAAAAAGAAAAGTAAAAATGACATTCATAAGATAATTCAAATTTTTAATTTAACAATGCAGAAAAGATGCTTAAAAGGAAATCAATTGTTATTTTTTAGCATAAGCTAACAATGAAGTGTTCATTTTATGATATTTAATTGATAGCAATAAGAAAGAAAAAATTACTTATCACTAATGACATTCTATCCAACCATGCAAAATCAATAAATTGAATAAGCATTAAATAGTATCATTTAATTCGATGTCTAAATAGAGCTTAAAAATTATTTGATGTAAATTAGGAAATTTACTTAGACAAATCAAATTTTGAATAGTTTAATCAATGAATGGAATAAATAAAATAAATTCAACCACTGACATCATTAATCTCATTATAGCAAAATTACCTGTCCCTTTATAGCAATACTACCTGTCTCATTATAGCAAAATTACCTGTCTCTTTATATCAAGGTTACCTAAGCATACACAGTTTCTGACGAACGGTATGCTAAATTCAACAATTGTATAAATCTATTTCTTAGATCTTATCAAAAGTTGAAAATGAGAAATTAGAGATTTAGTCATATCATATTTACATAATAAAATTTCATAGATTTATATTTTTATAACTTTTTATTTTTGAAAAGTAGTTAGCCGTTAGTCATTAATATTGGTAAGAAAAATATTGAATAACTTAAAAATTTAATCGCTATCTTACTTTAACATTTCATTCTCTCAGAACTAATATATATCAGAGATTATTAATCAATTGTATCTTTTTCGTAATAAAACAAAAAATAAGAAGAAAAGCATTAGCTAAATGAATATCAATGGAGGGAGAGTACGGTCATTAGTTAAATTTAATGAAAAGGCTTTACTAATGATAGAAGAAGAAGAATCTTCTTGAATGTATTCTTTGAATGAAATAATTTTCAAACTATGAATAACCTTTTTCTTCTTCTTTTCTTTTGCTGCCAAGTTATAATGAAAAAAAAAAGGCCTTAATCCATTCCTTTAGGCCTAAAAATGAGGGAAATTTTTATTGTAAAATGCTATAGCTAACAAAAATAAAAGACAGAGAGAAATTATTGATTTCCGTGAGAAAAAGGAATTAACAAAAAAAAAAAAAATTGAAAAAAGCTTTATGTAAAATTGATAATAGAAAAGTATACGTGTTAGTTAGTTGTAGCTCAATCCGATAGAAGTATATTAGAAAGTTGACAAATTTTGAATTTATTTTTTGTATCATTTCTCTATTATTATATTATTAATAAATAATACATTAATGATAATTGTATCATTATCATATCAATTTTCGCATATTATTTAATTGTAAATAAAATGAACGAAGTAATGATCTTACATAAATTTTACCTTCGCGATAAATCTTTACATTAAATATTCAAATAATTAAATTTGATAAGAGTAAAGATGAAAATGAAAATTTTTATGTCTTTTTTTTGCTATAATCTTTTGCAAATTTATGAAAAGTTTTTTTCTTCAAAAATTAACCAAAAATTTCTGTGTTTTAGTTATTGTTAACTTATTATTGATTGTATCAAAAATCATGTTTGTTTTTTTTCTTTGAGAATTTGAAATTGCAATTTTAGATTTGAAATAAACGCAAACTTTTTGTGGCTCTTTTCTTTTTTCAATTTTTAAATAAGTCTTTTCTCATTTTTATACTTGCAGTGCTTTCCAATTATAATTACAGGCAAATATGCGTGAACTTTTTTTTTTATAATTCACACTTTTGATGGAAATTTTAATTGGCTTGAAAGTTAATTTGAAATTTATAGCCACAGGCGATGTATTTGATATAATATTTCTACCAAATAAATATTGAATGAATAATAAATCACAATTTTTAGAATATAATCAAATTTGAACAGATATGAATGCTGTCTAATTTCTTTTTCAAAAATTGCTTACATTTTTTTCGTTTCTTAAAAAAAAAAAAAGCCAATTTTCCAATAAAAAATTTTTGAAAGAAAATGAAATGATGACAACGAGAGTAAAGTGTAATAATAACTACTACCAATTGACAATAATTTTTTTATTTACATTTTAATATTTGCAACTATTTCATGAAGAATGTAAAGATATATTTTATTAATAAAGCATAAACTTATGTTACTATTATCAAACTTCACCAATTACGTAAAACTAATTACGTAAAACGTCATCAATTGAATACATGGAATTCTCAGACGTATGCAATGAATTGTAAAATTTCAACAACTTATGGTATTGTAAGTAGGAATAATTAAAATAACAAGCATATGGGTTAAATCAGTGAATAAATGGGTTAAAATTAAAATTAAAAAGAAAAAATCAAAATTACAATATTCAGATTAACTCTAATCATTTTTATTTCACTTTTCCACTTCAGGTTTTAATTTAACTGTAAAATAATAGAAACTGAAAAAATACTCTGCAGTCTAAAATAAAATAAAGTGCATTTCCAGATTGTTGTTTTCTTTGTTTTTTTTGAATCAAAAAAGGTTGATCTATAATTAATTCTGCCTATTTGTTGTAAAAAACGATACATTTAAATTACATTCAAATTCTAATACGTTTGCCACATGCCTGATTAGTCATTCACCAAATAATTTCGCATTTGTAACTAATCTATGTGTAGATCATTTAAGCCATTATGCTAATTCCTTTTTCTCACACAATAAAAAAACCTTTGTTAGCAAACCCTTTGTTAACAATCTTTGTTTCACATCAGTTAAACGTCCTCTGCCGGATATCTGGTCAGTTCAGTTCTGTATATAAGCTTACAGTTATTTATTCTACATTTTGGGGCGGTTTTTAATATTATCTTAGTGTTTTATAATTATATTATATCTTTCGTTACGCGTTGTTATCATGTTGATTTGTTGGTTTAATTACCTAAGTTTGAGGCAAAATAAAATATCGGGCAGTCAATACATTCCACAACACTATTTTTAATAATATGTTGTTGTTTCAACATTGAAATCCATGAATTAAATTTTAGTATATATATACTAAATTAAATTTCAGATACATAAGCAATATGGAAATTTTAGATTTGTGAATTTTCCTAAATCTTAATTAGTATTAAAAAGGATAGGAAATATATTAGTGCAGTGTTGAAAATGAAAAGAAAATTTCAGTAATGTGAATCATTTCGTCTCTGTCACAAATTCATCATAAAATTTGGAGCTTAAAATATCTTCGTATTTCTTTCCTTTATAAATTATAAAAATATTAGAAGATTATTTTAATTTATGATATCATCAATCAGTTATGGAGACTTAACAAAAAGAAATGTCTATGAATGTCATTAAAAGTTTATAGAATTTGAAAAAAAAAAAAAAAAAAAAAAAAACCGAAGTGGGATGAAAATGATAATGTAAATGTTTTGGATGAATTTAGTTTAAAAAAAAATCTTGAATTCTAGGCAGATTTCAAGAAAGTATTTCTCTAATCAGATATAATAATTTGAAGCTGAGCTTCTATCTCTTTTATCACCTGAGATAATTTAATGAATGCATGCATGCACAAAGCACATGAAAGCATTAGCAAGACAATCATCAAACTTCTAAGACTCAAAGCTTTAAAAGCAAAAAAGTTTCACTTCGTCAGTGATGCACTGCAAACGATTGCAAGCAACGTTTTTTGAAAATTATTTGCAGCAAAAAAAAAAAGTAACTAAGCTAGAAGCCTATGAAATTAAATTGCAAAATGGATGAAGCTGAAATGTTGGAAGTCAAAAAGTGATAGACGTGACGTCAAATAGCATTAGTTTTACATAGAACTAACTTTAATCAGAAATAATGCATTTTAAAATAGTATGGTTTTTTTTTTTTAAGAAAATTTTCAGATAAATTTTATTTGCAGAAGACGAATAATACTGAAATTAAGTCTGAAAACCGATCTTTTCTCGATGTGTTGAAAAAAATTTTTTAAATTTGATTTATATGATATTTAAAAGCAACAATTGATGCATAATTTCAATGTAAATAGTTAATTTTTAGCAACTAATATCAAAAATGTGAATTGCAAAAAAAAAAAAAAAACCGAAAAAAAGATCAGAAAGACGAATTCTTATAGTCAGATTATTCAACATTGAAAATTTTGGAAGCAAGAAAACTAAATTCAAAATATCGTTCAAATCCTATGGGGATTTTTTGCAGCTAAGTCTAAGTAATGAGTTGACTATTACATGTTAATAAGTGAGGAATATTTTAGGTAACATTTACTTTTTATTATTTATCATTTTCAAGTAATAGTAATAAATATTTAAATTCCTAATAAAAAATTAAAAATTATTTAGGAGAAAATTAGGATGAAATTTTTGAAAGTAAACGTTCAAATTTCAATAGCAATAATTGTTATTTTGACTGTGACATACATTTCTCATATATGTGTTTGTTGGTTTTTGTTCTTCTCTACTTTTGATAAAATTAAATGAGTAAAAATGAAATGAAAGAAAATTACATATTTGCCAACATTGGAAGAAGCATTTTTAATATTGTAATAATATTTATTAACTAAAAAATGATATAATAACTTTTTTTTTTCTCTCGAAATATCTGAAAAGAATATTTATGAACAATTGATAATTTGGCAAAATGTTTTTTTTTTTTTCATTCATTTTATCATTACTGGAATTGGCATTAAGCTAAACATAATGAAAAGTAGCCTCAGCCTTTTATTTGGAATAAATGAGCATAACAAAGTTATTATTTAAAAATACTTTTTCATTAACTGAAAAAATTGATGAGTCAAATGAAGTGAAAATTGGAAATCAATACCAACTTGAATGAAAGCAAATATTAGATGACGAATTAAATGAATGAACACAATCGAAATGATCGATTAAATTGGTTTCATCCACTGATTTATTGATTTAATTTTTGCTGAAATATTTCAAACTTTTTTGAGAAAAATTTCGAGCAACTTATTTAAAGTAACAGCAATTAATGAAGTAAAGCAAACGATGACAATCTCATACTTGCTAGCAAACAAAGCTTACACAATTCTCAAATAGTATGCTGATGTCATTAATCCAAAAATTAATTTAAAAAAACTTTAAGAATGATGTCACCAACTGAAATTTTAAGAATTCAACTTTAAACTGAAAATTGATTTGATTGAACACAGATTATATTAGTTTATTAAATATTATTATCTATTATCTTTCATGACAACGAATGTTTTTCTTTGATTGATTTAAATTTGGAATTACATTTGTTTGCATGCAGACAATGTTTAATGAAACAAGATTCCGAAATAGTAATATTTTCAGATGTGTTAAAGAGATGATTAATATTGATTGCTCTCTTCGTTTGAAGCCACAGAACTTTTGAAATCGCAAAATGTTTGAAAAGAAACTTTCACCGAACAATTTCAATTCAAATTATTGAGGAATAGGACCAATTAGACATGAATAATTCATAATTCGACAAAAAGTTTTTTTTTTTTTTTTGTAAAAATCATTACTTAAAATACTAAATTTATCTTAGTTAAAAAATTTGTTCCAATGAGGAAGAAACTGTCCTAAAATTTTCGTTAATTACACACCTTTTCTTGCAAACGATTTCAGTGATTCATAACTGAATGTTCGCCGTAGCATTATCTTTATTATTTTTACTCACAACTACAATGAGGACATCATGAATACAGTGAATTCCAAATAAAAAAAGGAAATTAACGAAAATTACAAAAACTATTCCATAAGTCTGCCATGAATTTAACTTGAAAGAGTTCTAATAAAAATATATGAAGGAAAATAAGTGTATGAAAACTTTAACAAAGTATCTTTTTTTTTTCAAACAACTTTTAAATGCATGATTTTTTTTGTTAGTTACACATATTTCCATGCAACAATTCCATTGATTCATAATGGAATGAGTATGACACGCATTTTTTAGCATTAACTTTGTTATAAACATTAATTTAAACTTCTAACCAATAACAGTCTCGGGCTGTTCAACTGTTTAATAGTTGAGAGACTTCATTAGTTAATAAGGTAGGACAAAACCACTACCACGGTCTCAGATTAGTTTTGTCGCTAAGATGAGATGCATCACCGCTAAGTTCTTTAATATAACCACCTTTCTGTTTTTTGACAAATTTTGATACTGTTGCTTGGCCAACGTATTTCCACGAACCGCCTAATAATTCATGGATTGCACCTATTGGAGCTCCGTGGGAAACAAGTAATACTTCAGTACCTGTAATAATTAAACACTCCGAAAATTACTTCTCGTCACTTTATCTGAGGCAAAATAAATAATTTATACATTTTCAATTTTACAGGTAAATTTGCGTCTCTAATGCGATCTTACTTTAGTGCCTTTGAAACCTTTGAAAGCATATAATTGTTATAGAATACAAAATTTAACCGTAATGTTTAATATTTCTAGGTATTAACCTGGAAAACGTTTTTCGATTCCTTCTAAAGTCATTTGTATGCGTGGTGTACAAGCTTCATCGCCATCACCTTCTCGTGGAAGCTTCCATGGCATTATTGATTGATAACATGTATCAACAAGTGGATATTTCTCTTTCAAAATATTCAGATCCTCATATCCGGGAGGATCTTCGCACATATATAATCCCTACAAGAATAAGTTTGACTTAAATTAACAATGAACTATTTGACAATATGCAAACAGGAAATTTTACAACAAATAATTTTTTTTTTTTTCATATTTTTTTCAGAGACCAGAATATACTAGCGAATTTTACAAGTTCCTTTTTTACAGCGGTAAAATAGCAAAAGAGTGATGATGTAAGAAAAAAAAGAAAAAACCATATACAAAAATAAACTGCACCTCGCATAATCCTGGTTCAACTTTTATGGTAGCATTACTATGACCTCGCAAAAGTCGTGTAGCTGTTTCAAGAGTACGATCAAAAGGTGAAACAAAGATATGATCCAAATGAATGTCATTGAAACGAACAGCAAGCTCATCCGCTTGTCCTGAAAATAATAAGCTTCCAATCATGTAATGTGAATTCATATTTTTTATGATTACTTTACATTCTTAAATAACCGCTAAGTTCATTCCAAAATGGATTTTATTCATATTCCTATTTGTCAATAATACCTACTATTACACTTTCTGTATTACTGTTCATTTTTCATTTTAGTTTAACTATATTGAAGTGATGATTTAACAAATAAGAAAACTATTACAACAATGTTCTTTCCTAATTAAAAATCAAATAGTCTTCTTGTTCCATCACAGATTACCAACTATAAAAAATCAAAAAAAAAGAAAGATCTCACTAACGAACCTTGTCCTCTCTTTGATAATGGTGAATTATCACTTTTTAACGTTGAACTATTTTGCCATGTCAAATTGATATTGTCTTCACGTTCAGCATGTCGTACAACCCAAAATGTCATCGAATTCATATTGCTCATTGTCTTCTTCAAAAATTGCCTAGGAATGAGCAAGGGAGCATCGCAAATATTTATAAATAATAATAAGAAGAAATTATCAATCATTGATGAACAGATTATTTACTGTAATCGATTTTTAGAAAAAGAAAGCAAAATGTAAACATTTCAGATTATGAAATTTTAACTCACTAGTAATAGAACAGGTTTAACTAAACAAATAACATCAGACAGTTATTTCAAATTGTTTAATAATGACCTTAATAATAATTTAATAACAATAATTGTTTAATAATAACCTTAATAATAATTTTTTAATAGTAACATTAATAATAACTGTTTAATAATAATAATAATTTTTGATAATAATTATTGAATTATTTAGCAAATCAGTTAGTAAACTAAAATAATCACAATTAATTTAATACACTATCGAAAAATTCTGAAATTATCTTACACTTTGCATTATTTCAATAAAATGTTATGAGAAAAATTCAAGAGTGATATATGAAATAAAAAACAAAAAATAGGTAAAGTTGTTGCTATTCAGTTACTGGCTATTCTATGATATGTTAACGTCAGTTACTGTAACATTTTAGAAATTCTTCAATAGTTCGTTTATCATTTTATCCACCAAAATATAGTATTTTTAATTTTTTTTTTTAAAATTTTTTCATCAAAAAGATTTTTTTTTCATAGATATTTTAGTGAAATATTGTTGTTGTAATAATAAAATGATTCCAGTTAGAAAGAGTAAAATAACTTTTCTACTTCATAATTTGATAATTGGTGTATGATATTTCCAAGGTATATTAACGAGCCATAAAACTGCATGAGATTCGATATTGATTTCACTGAAGATGGTAGATTAACGAAAAACGAAAGAGTCTGGAATAGTAACATTTTAAACAAATAGCGTATGCTCTTTTTTCATTTATATTTTTGTTTAGCTCAAGATAAAAATTTTATGATGTACATATCTACTCGAATATTTTTTGATGTATGAAGAAATGAAGAAAATAATTTGCAAACAAAATACAAAAATAACTAGTTTCTGTTTTTTTTTTTTTGAAAGCAGATAGATGAATACATCCATTTGTTATGTAAATTTTCTGTAAAACTTCATAGCAGAATTGTTTGTTTGTTATGTAGATCATCATTTGCGAAACTTTTAAATAAACATGGAAGAATTTATGCTGCTACTTGCTCCCAAAGTATACAAGGATGATACCTTCCCTTCTATTAGCTATACTTTTAAATTTCTTCGTGAATGTTTCGTGCGGTGAGTTCTTCACTTGAGAGATATTCCTCATTTTTGATTGCTTTCTTCAAAGAGCATAAATCTTTACGTTTTTGTTTCGTTGTGATCCTTTGTTTATGATTACTTGAAAGCGAATATTCAAATAGAATATGTTTTCAAGTTCATCTACTGCAGTCCGAAACTTTGTGTTTTCCTTTCCCATCTTTTTTTCCAGTTGTACTTTCATTTTATTGAAATTGGCTTCTAAGAATGGTACAATGATTATTTTTGTAATTAAAAAAAGGACCTTAATATATTTTCAGAAAAATGTAGGACCAATAACGATTGCGACAGTGGACGATGTGAATGGCGTCGCTGCGTTGGAAAATTAGGCAAAGTGATATCCGGTAGAATGGAAATTGAAAGTAAACGTTCATATTTTAATATTCATAACTGTTTGTTATTTTATGATAATTAAACCTGCAGAATATATCCTCATGTATGCATTTTTTGTTTGCTTAAAACGGATTAGACGAATAAAACTAAGGTGACATTGAAAAAAGCACCTATAAAATTGCAATAAAATTTACCAACTAGGGAAGTGCTATAATTTTTAGCACATCCAATTTCTTTGTAAAATAAAATTGATTTTAATTGTTGATATAAAAATGATGTGCTTATTAAAGATTGTTACGTTGACGACGATTGTCCCACAAAGCAAGTATGTCGGGGTGGCTCATGTCAACAACGCCTTCCTTTGGTTAATGATTTGGCTAAGCTTCGACCTGGTTGCTTATCATTATTATGCTTTTATAGTGTCAGATTTGCAGATAAGCTAGGTTTTCATGTTTACAAATTGGTAGTTCTGCTTGTGAAATGTGATAACTACGATTTTGCCAGCTTATCTGTTAAGTTAATTTTTCTTATAAAAATTAAAGTATATGACTTGTCAGGATACTTACTTTTTTTGTATTTTGAAGGATTAATGTATGCTTATATAGGCACATCCATGTTACTAAATTTCATTTATTTTCGTAGTTTTTCCTGTTTTAAACTGCACATATTTATTCCACATTGCAATTGATTTCAAACACCTAACGCTAGCTATTGCAGTACTATGGTTTTTGGACAATAATTGGAATCTAACTTTAAAGTTATTTAGAAAGTAAATAACTTTGCATAATTGAGTAAAGTTATTCATTTTCAGATCATTGCTACACTGATGCAAATTGTCCATCTGGTTTCAAATGTGGTTATTATAAGAAGTGTTATAATATGTCTGATAGCAGATATGTAGTGGAATCGTTCACTCATATCCGTAATTTTTCCTGTTTTAAACTGAATTTTTGTTGGTAAAATATCTTTACAAATTATACAAACCAAGAAAACATTGCATATATTAAGTCAAGAATTAAGCGTGAGCCAGTGATAGTCTAGCCAGTGATAGTCTAACTAACACAATGAGTGCTGTTTCTCGCTTACATCTGTTATTTTAGCATGCAAACATGAAGCACCAGATTTTTGCGCGAAAGTAACAGGTTTTGAGAATGCCCAATGTCGTGAAATCGAATTCGAGTATGAAAAAATTCGCTCATATGTATGCCAGCTTCCACCACCGTTTGCACGTACTGAATTCAAATGTATGTTACACAGGCTTGAAATTGTTTTTTATGATTGGGTTTATATTGGAAAAGGATGGGATTTGTTTGCTTACAATTATTACATAGGCATTAAATGGATTTTTATCTAATATGAATTCTCACAAGTTGTTTTCTTTTGCAAATGATAAATTTTCAAGAAAAAAAAGGCAAACAAATGTTTAATTTCATAGAGTCATATGAGAATTTATACTGGCGTAAAGAATATGACCAAATTAATTACAGCTTGTGGTAAGGACAATAGTTGCTCACGATATAGCACATGCATAAGAGGAACTTGTTATCAGCCATTTTGGATTACTGTTAGAGAACGTAAGCTTAAAGTTTTTTTTTTTTGTGTTTTCTCAGAGAAGATAACTAATTATCTAATTATACAATTATTTGATTTTTAATAGCTTGTTATTATAATTCAGGTTGTAAGAATGATAATGATTGTACTTTTCGTGCAAAATGTGCCTCAGATGGTGGATGCAAGGAAGGAAAATGGTCACTGCATCATCGAAGTAAGTTTTTGTTGCTAAACCGATATTGCAGTTATTTTAGTCTAATTGTATATCCTCAAAATTACTAGCCATTTTTGACAAGATATAATAATACGATAATATTGCTTGAACATGTTTTCATGCGTAATATCAGCAAACATGCACAGAATATTTGTTTAAAGTGTTCGAGGTAATCTATTTCTTGTTTTAATTCCTTCTGGTCACTCTTTGAGTTTCTTGTATGATCAAAGATTCTTTAAGCTAGTGAAAAAAATTCCGGAATAAACATGTTTCCCTTCTTATCTGGTTGATGAAACGAAGAGAGGTGGAGAAGAGGGTGACAAAATATATTTTTCAGCTTGTCGTGTATCCTTAGAGTGTGGCAATAGTCCTACAATGAAATTTGTATGTCGTAGATTTGAATGTACGTATCGGCGAAGTGTTCCATTTGGTAAGCATTAAATGTTATGAAGTGGGTAATTAAAACAATTAATTTTATCATCGACATTAAGATTGAGTCGTCATACTTCAGCATAATCTTCACAGGATCATTTTATAAAAATGAGTTCTTTCGCGATATTTTAAATGTAACATAGAGCGTAAAGTATCAGCATCCAACACATTAGTCTGCATCAAAGCTTATTATCGTTTGTTATTGTTCAATTCATTCTGATTTAGTTATCAATTTTGAATATTATACTTTCTTCTTTATGTCATGACGTTACGTACGTTTATATTCCAATTCATTACACTTCAGTGATTTGCACTGCTGCTTAAAATGAAGACTGCAGCACTGCTTGCTTTGAAATTTTCTAACGGCAGATGATTTCCTCATTAATGCAAATTTCTTTCTCATCTAACTATGTTGGGAGGAGAACAATGGCTATGATACGTTATATGTCTATCCTTTCTTCAAAAAGGAAGAAAAAAATTTAAAGAAAATAACCGTTGCACATTGTGAGTTGATTTCTTTCAGAATGTGATGCATGTCGGTTTGATGAATTCTGCGATTTGTATGAAAATTGTTTGCCAGTTCAGCGTTTCAGTGGTTAGGAATTTTGGATTATCTCTTTTTGTGAAATGAAAAGTTGATAACACGATGAGAGAGTAGTATTATTTGAAGAAGTATTATCTGAAGAACCTTAAAAAAATCCAATATATCTGCTCGAGAGAACAATGAAATTTTCATGGAAAAATCTGTCTAAGGAGAGATTGATTATATGTTGATTAGGTTTTGTTTCATTGAACCTGTAGTTATTTCAAGTATCTCAAAACAGTTTGTTCAGTTTTTTTTTTTTTTTTACTCAGTTATGTTCAGATTTTTACTCAGTTAAGCTATCGGTTTATTGCTATTGCTTTAGTTTTACAGCATTAATTAAATCGTACTTCTTGATATAATTAGAATTATTAGAATTAACTAATTAGGTTGTTCTTTACAAGGCGAAATGTGCAAATAATGCATGAATTAAGGTGTGTTATGATGATAATATCATTCTCAATGCATGATATTATTTTTGAAAATCTAAATTAGTTGAATACATTTTTTTTTCGTTTTCTTTTTTACTTTCATTAGAACAGAGTTTTTAGAATTCGATTGCGATGGTGATAACTGGTTTTATTGGTATAGCGCTTTCTACTGCTCGGTATGTCTATTCTGATATCATAGTGCAGAAGCTGACTGTTTTGAGGTATCACTTGAGGAGAGGAAACATTTTTGGATGGAATAAAAGATAAAGTGGTAATGCGAAATTTTACAAATTGTGAAATTATAGGTATGTTAAGAAGTAGTAACATTTATTTGTCATTGTAAATCTTCCTTGTTCTCTAATTAATTAAATCTCAGTGGAACTTTTTATGAGATGAAACTACGCTATCATGTGAGTGTTTGAAATTACTTGTTGGGATTGTTGGTCATTTGATGTGTTTTTTGTTTATCATTAATCGGTTGACAAATGAGCATAAAGTGATTGAAATCATATCCATAAGTCTGCAGCACTAAATATTTCAATTTCTTCACAAAATCTTGAGCTTATCTCTATTTTGGAAAGTCATCTAATTTTCTGTTGTATTCACGGCATACAGTTCTAGGAGTGATATCAAATATTAATTAGAATTTAAAAAATCTGAAAAAAATAGTTTCTTTTTAAGTCGACAAAAGAAATGACGTTCAATGATGCAATATCGGAGTGTACGGAATTAAAGGCAGAATTAGCTTATCCTCCAGACAGAGGGAATGAGACTGCTCTGTCACCTGAAAGTGCTTTGTTGTCATGTAAGGATTACATCCTTATTAATTTAGTAAAGTGAATGGAACTGCCAATAGGCATGGTTTTTTTTTTCTTTTTTCTTTTAAAAATGGGAAAAGGTTAAAAATAACTGATATAAGGTCAGAAAAAAAGTGATATCATCAAGAGATTAAGAAGTGAATAGCATTCAGTCTTCTAAGTTTTTCCGATTAGCTAAATTTAAGTGAACTATCTTGCTCTCAGAAGGTTACATACTCCATGCAATAAGTAATTTATAACTTATGGAAGAATGTCGTATGAATACCTTTTTTACATTTCAGTTCATCTCATCACATACTTTATTATCGATTTATTTATTATTATTACCATTGTTATTATTAATATTAACGATTTTCAGACTTGGCTGTACGCGGTGGTTGGGTTAAAGAAGGAACAGAAGAGGTCGAGAAAGTGTTTGTGAATTGGAATATTCCTGATCAAAGGGAGATTAAATCACGTTTTTTCTGCAAAATTAAGTATTATTTATGAATTAAAATGAGGCATACAATAATGATAATTATTAGGAATTGCTCTTTTCGAAAATGTTCAATTTGAGTAATTTGTTATGATGGATTAGTAACAGATGAATCATGGAGAGACATATTACCGAGATTTTACGCAAATTGGAAAACATTACTTCAGGAAAGACCAGGAGCAATCATTGAAAAAGAAATTGTGTATGGCAAAACAAAGAAAGAAGAAAAAAAAAAAAAACTGTTCGATATGTTTTAGAAAGGATAGAAAGATAGAAGAGAAGAAGTTGCATCGATTAATGAGACAATGTTGGTGATCTCCTATTTATTTTTTTCTCTTATTTCAGAAAAAGTGTCTCGGTCATCCGTTCCGAATAATGCCACTGCATACAGAGGTCAGTTCTTTGACTGTTAAATAGGGAGCATTTTTAACAGATATTATTATTAGTTGTGTAAAAGATTTATTGAAAATATTGCTAATTTTTACACTTTGAATGAAATGCGGTTTTTGATTAGATATAATTATAGCTTAATTTAGATGAGTATAATTAGCTCAAAATTCAGTGATAAAGTTAAAAATTAGTATTGAATTAGGGTGGTGCCAAGAAACTTTTATTTCTTTCGTTCATTTTTGTACTTTATTCTACAAACATTTTGAAATTCTTTGGAAGCACCTTTTTTCACATAAACTTATCCTTTTAATAGAAATATTGTGGATAGTTCTGCTGTTCAAGCAATGTTTTCTGTTCCTGCTTTCTACTTACTGCAATTCAATTCTGCAAAATATCTGGTATTATTAAATTGTTTCTTTATCTGGTCATCATCTAGATGATTTTTGTTTTAGGTCAGAAATGTCAAACATCATTTGTTTATCGTCATGACTACTGCTATATCGCGGTTCGTTTTTATATTTTTTTAATCATCTATTTAGCTACAATTTCGGCCTTATATCGTCATTTTGGGTTGGCGTTAACCTTAGATTGTTTATCTCATCGAAAGTTCTTGAACATTCTGATATTATGCATGACTAGGTGTCATTGTAGAGCAGAAAGATTTGCAAGGAGATTAATGCATGCAGCATACGTCATACTTAAGAATAGTTATATTATATATAATACTAAACCTATTATCATTCAATATTTTTCTATGTCTATTTATAGAATGAATGAGTCTTAATTTGTCTGAAATAGTAGGATTTGCAGACATACTAACGTAGTACTGTTTCAGGGTTTTACTAACTTCATGCCTCGTTTTGCAATCCGAACAGTTTGCAATTTATTGGATAGTGAAATAGTCAAAATTAGGAATAAGGAGGAGGCACATACAGCTTATGGTAAGATTGAGCCAGTATTTGTTATTGTTTCTTTAAAGAAATATATGTTTTGAATTATATGAAAATTTATTTGAAAGTCATAATTGAGGGGAGAATTGTTAACTACTCGATAATAATCTATTTTTTCATTATTGAAATTTTATAACTGACTGAACATTTTTATTGAAGGTTTGTTAGGCCTTAATAAAAATTTATTTACAGGACTTGCTGGTGGGAAGTCGTTCTGGCTTGGATTGAGAAGAGGTATAATTTTATTTCGGTGACTACGACTCTATAACATTTGATTGTAGAGTTTCCATAATTCATTATTCAGGATTTAGAGAAGCTTAGTAAATTCATCAAATTTAAAAAAAAAAAAAAAAAAAAAAAAAAAAAACGGTAAATGTTGAGAATATAGCAAATCCTTTTTGCTTCTTAACTTACGATTTTCTCTTCTATTTGACTGCTTGTTATTTTTAATACATTGCATGGAATTGTAGATGAGAGTTCGTGGCTAAAATATCACCTTAGGATCAGTTGGTTTTATTTCATATAAACTTCGAGATTAAAGTTGGTAGCATATTCCTGCAGGAAAGAGGGATTGGTATTGGGATACTAGTACCTATGGAACTCGAGCACATTTTTTCTTTTGGCGTACAGGACAACCGGATATAACAGACAACAAAAATTGTGTTTACGCAGCTTACGCAGGAGAGTGGATGACTGCTGACTGTGATAACTTCCGCTCACCGAAAATGTTTGTATGTCAGAGTGAGTTTTGTAAACCCACATTGAAATTTTTAATCAGTCGCTTTCCTGGGTTATTCGGAAAAAAAAAAAGTTTTTTTGCGGAAAACTTTACTGGTAAAAAATTTTTCCGGGTATCCATTTTGATTTCAACTAATCACGAAATCATGGGTATGCATATTATTCACATTAATTAAATGCTTAAACAAATATTTTAGTGATCATTTTAGCTTTCATTGTAAAAAAGCATCCGGAGTAACTGTAACACTTCTGTTATCCTTTTTAGTCGCTTTCTAGGTCAATATTTCAAATTTGTATTATACTTTTATTCGGATGATTTTTTCTATTTTAGGCCCTTCATACAAGAACTAGAAGAAAGAAGTTATGTGGAATCATTGAGATGATTTGTCTCGTTACAAGCGCATCCTGTTCATAGATTTCATTTGTATCTTGAACATCTTAATGTTGGTGTGTATTATTTTTTCTATGGGTATCAAAAAGATAGTTTCAAAGAAGGTAAAGGAGGTAATCGTCTTATGTCCATTAAGGAATTTTTCTAGAATTGACAGAGTAACGGTGATCGATGTGAAACTATAGTTCTAGTAACTTTTCACTATCACATTTTATATCATTTTTGAGTAGAAGTTTTGCGAATGTATAGGCAATATATTTGAGAAACAAGAAAACATCGGTAGCTCTATAAAGTTGAGGAGACACTCTGTATTATTTATTTTTTCCAATTAGTCAAAGGTATTCAAACTCCATATGTGTCTTAAATGATGCAACTTTCATGTAAATGATTTTTGCTTGGGATCATAATGGTAGTAGTGAAATATTGTAATGCATTTGCAAGATTATTCTGTCTGTTTTTAATTGAATAAATATAAATGAGAATACAGAAATAGTTTGTGGCTGTTATGAAATAATAACCGCCACAACAATTAATAATGGAAATTCGATTATTTCATTAGAGCTGAAGGATAATTTTTAGAAAGCTATCAAAAAAAAAAAAGAAACTGGGCAAGTAAAATTCTTCCTCAGAATATTGAATCATAATATTGCTCTATAATATTTTGTGCTTGCAGAAATAGAAATTTGGGAGGGCAAAAATAGAAATTCGTGATAAGTGCGAGTGACAGACATACTTAGGAGAATGTGGTAAAAATAGAAATTCGCTAGGGAGTGCGCGCGGTAAAAGCAAATTCGAAAGCGAGAACGCGGCAGAAATATTTGAACCTGGAAAATTAGTTTGCGATTCCTTTAGATGAGCTTTCCATTGTTATATGGAGTATTAATTTTATACGCATATCGTTAAGAAACACAATTGCTATTATTTTTGGAAATTCTTTCTTAACTAAAACATTCACCATTCAACGTCTCCTGTCGATCTCACAGCTACGTAAGCAGTCAAAATTTATAAAGTCACGTTAAAAAACTTTTAAAATCACAGATGTCTAGTAGAATGCATATTAGCAAGCATAACAGAAGCCTAATAACTAGACATAGTCCTATGTGTAGTCCAAAAATTATATAAGTGGTGAAATTGTGTCACTATTAACATTTTATTAACTTCAACAATTTCAAACAATTATAGCAGAATTTTTAATCAAAACAGAAATCAAACAGAATTAATATATATTAATAACTAACGATGAAAAGTGGTAATACATAATTACTGCAAAATGATTCAAATGAATTGGTATCACAACAATAAGAAATTGCTAATTCTGTTAATAGCAATTAAAAACAATAAATGGCTGATTAGCTTGAATCAATGCATTTTTATTCAACAACATACCTCAAAAAAAAAAAAAAAAAACGATTCGTTGGAAATAACCAAATGATATTCAGGCATGTAATCGAAACAAAAAGAATCTTAATACAACCATAACTTAATAATAAATAAAAAAAGGATACATAAGAACCATGGACGTGAAGATGATGGCAACCAGCGTAGTATGACGACTGACATCAGATTGGGATGTGTTAGAGAGATCGAGAATATGATCAAATGATATTCCCTGTGAAGGGCAAATGGGTTGAATGGTATACACCGAGTTTTCGTGCAAATTAAGTAAGATAAGATATTTGCATATATTCTCCGAGCGCGAGAGAGTATTACTTCAGTAGGAAATGTTTTAAATGATTCTCATAAATGATTTTTTCAACTTTTTTTTTTCTTAAATTGGAACTGGGTTAAAAAAAAAATTGTAGGGTATTTGATGACTTAAAAAAGATGAGATTGTGCGAAATTTTCCAAAATATAATCGAGAAATTAATTTCAGGAAAAATACAATTTTTGTGCGACATGCTGAGAATCATAGCGCCGTTTATCGAATGCATCAAAAGGAAGTAAGTAGATATTTTCATATATCCCTTCAATAGGAAATATTACTTAAGTAGGAAATGTTTTTATAAATTATTTTTTCAATTTTTTTTTCTAAAATTAGAATTGCGTTAAAGAAAAATTGCAAGGTATTTGATGATTGATATAAGTAGTATTGTGATCAATTTTAATATAATTGGAACGCATAATTTGGCGTTGTTTTATCATCAATTTGCATTTGATTAATTTGATAATTTTATAGAGCGGGCTCGCGTGTCGCCCAAAATCCAGAACGTCGGACTATTTCCGACGTTCTGGTATATTTGGAACGTGAACCTGTAATGCTCCAAGCATTACAGGAATATATGCGCGAAAGGGAGCAGGTAAATTCATTTTTCTTTTTTGTCATCAATTAAGGATTATAGAAAGAGTTATACTTCTAATTTATATGAAGAGTTATAGAAAGTACTTTCTTAAAATGTGGTCTTTTCAGATTGAAGACCTGCTCCTAACCTGCTTGGAGGATACGGAGAGGAGGTCGGAGGTCGAAGGGCAGGATGGAGAAGAACCGGTGCCTCAGGAGCAGGTACTTTACGAAGAAGAGGCAGAGTGGGCCCCTCTGCCTGAAACT